TCACACTTGGGTTCTATTCTCATTTCTGCCACAAACTTTCTGCTTAACACCCCCTGCTCCCCAGTCTTCCCACTATAAAGTGCTGATATTTCCCTGCCTCACTGGGGATGTTTTGAAGCTAAATAATGTTTGTAAAGTGCTTTGAGATCCTCAATTATAAAAGTGTACAATATTATTAATTCCTTAACCAATTACTGTTAGACAGCTTCTGCTTGTCATCATATTTCTCTCTCAAACCAGGCTTGGTGGTCTTAGTCCAGCTCCCATTGGATTCTTGTCTGTTGGTATCATGATTGGTATTGCAGTTGCAGTCTGTACGCAGAGGCTGAAGGCTAAGGGTTTCCTCCTGCACAGTTGAGGTTTGGAGTGTGGAGCAGGTAAGTGCAAGGTAAAAAGTGAAGAATAGGACAGGGAATTCTGCAGAATCTGATCCCGAATTAGTCAGAGCACTGCTGCATGGCTGCCAAGCTATTCCTGCTTAGTAGCAGGAGAAAAGCATAGGTAAGCACCTCATTTGTATGCTAAAGATCATGCAGAAACTCACATCTTGCTTCATTCACTCAATCTCTGCAAAAACAACGAGGAGTCCTTGTGGCAACTTAGAGACTAACACATTTATTTGGGCATAAGCTTTCGTGGGCTGAAACCCACTTCATCAGATGCATGGAGTGAAAAATACAGTAGGCAGGTATATATTACAGCACAGGAAAAGATGAGAGTTACCTTACCAAATACGGGGGTCAGTGCTAATGAGGCCAACTCAAACAGGGTAGATGTGGCCCACTCCCAATAGTTGACAAGAATCTGAGAGTATCAACTGAGGAGAAATTACTTTTTATAGTGACCCAGCCGCTCCCACTCTTTATTCAGGCCTAATTTGATAGTGTCAAGTTTGCAAATTAGTTCCAGTTCTGCAGTTTCTCACTGAAGTCTGTTTTTGAAGTTTTTTTTATCGAAGAATGGCCACCTTTAAGTCTGTTATTGAGTGTCCAGGGAGATTGAAGTGCTCTCCTATTGGTTTTTGAATGTCACAATTCTTGATGTCTGATTTGTGTCCATTTATTCTTTTTGCTACTTCCTTTTACCCTATGCTATTGCAGATAAGGGAGTGGACATGAAAGAGGCTTGAGAGCTAATATTGCTCATTACCCAGGATCTACTTAGCACTTATAGTTGAACAGCAAGCTTCAAGATCTCACTCATGTCAAGCAGGTTTCTTTCAGAAAAAAGAAAATAGGAAGGGATCACAAACCCTGTCAGATAAAAGGCAAAATAGAAGTTGAGTGAAGGGAATTTGGAGATCTAGGCTCTATTCCCAGCACTGTTGCTGGGTGAGCTTGGGCAAGTCACTTCACCGCTCTGTTCCTCAGTTTCCCCATCTGTAAAATGTGCATAACGAAAATGACCTCCTTGGAAAAGCACTTTGAGATCTACAGCTGAAAAGTGCTATAGAAGAGCTAGGTATCACTATTAATAAGTGAGGCAGCATAAGAGAGAATTTGAAGTGCACATAGGTAACGACATAACAAATAGCAAGATATTCATTAAATATATCAGAAACTGGAACCTGCAAGGAAATCAGTGGGTCTGTTGGATTACTAGGGGCTAAAAAGGAACATTTAAGGATAAGAAGATTGTAGAGGGGCTAATTGTTCTGAAGAACGAAATGGCCGAGCTGCTAACAAAACCTTACTTAGTTTATTTAGGAAGGGATTAACTAAATGGAAAGAAAAGGTAGGAGGTGAAGAAGGACAGGAGAAAGAGAGGGTAGATAGGAGAGAGATGGAGTGAAGCAGAGATACTGTGAGGAAGGGTTAGAGCAAACAGCCAATCAGAACAGGACAGAGAAATAAAGGTTTTTCAACAGTTTCTAAAAGAATATCTAGCGGTCCCTGCATTGGCTGCTCCTGTTCTTACCAGCTAGAGTCTCTGGCTGGTTGCTTTCTGCATTTCTCCCCAAGGCCACATGGTGGTGAGGGGAGGGAAGGCACTGTCTGGGTCCAGAGTGAGAGTGTGTGTGAGAGAAGGGTGGCCCTGGTTGGACCCTGTTCCTCCCCCCTTCCCCCCCAATCCCCCAGTGCAACTGTTCTTGCTTTGGCTGTTCCTGTTGAGAAAAGAGAAGTGGCTGACATAATTTTTAAAAGCCTTTGACAGACTCCCCCCACAAGAGGCTGTTAAGGCAACTAAGTAGTCATGGGGTGAGAGGCAAAGTATTATAACTGATCAGAAGCTGACTAAAAGAAAGAAGAACGAGTTAGGAATCAATGGTAAATTTTTAACATAGCAAGAAGATAACTGTGGGGTGTCAAGGACCTGTACTACAGCTGGTGTTAATATTAGTGCAGTTTGAAAAAGGAGGGGGATTTACACAGAAAACTTGGAGGTTTTTTTCCCAGAAATTTGAGTACTGAAAAATTTAGCTAAAATCAGAAATATTTCTACTGAAAATGCTGTTGCTGTGCCTCATGGGAGTTAAGGTTCAGGTGCCTCATTCTCCTTGGTGGGCCAGGCTCCACAGCAGATTACATCTGCCATGCTGCAGCATGGTTTTCTCTTCTTGAAGAGAAGAGACTGTGAATTCTGGGAGTACCTGGCCATGGTGCATTGTGGGAAATGTAGTGTGGCCGGGGAGCCTAGCCCTTAGAAAAGAAAGGGAATAGAAGGCAACCAACCTACAACGGCCATGAGGCACTATGGCAGCATTTCCAAATCAAAATGTTTACAGTGAACAAAAAAAATTAAATATTTCTAAGGTAAGCAGTTGGACTGAAACGCAGTTTTCCATAAAGAAAAATGACAGAAAATTTTCAACTAGATCGAGTTGATATATTTATAAATGATCTGGCAAAGAGCAGCAACAGTGAGGTGGCAAAATTTGCAGATAACTCAAAATTACTTATGTTAGTCAAGACTTAAGAAACTTCAGAGGGACACACATCTAAATGATTAGGCTAGGAAGAAACTTCCTCTATAGGCAAGTTATTCCATAATGGTTCTTGCACCTTGCTCTGTAGCATCTGGTACTGGCTACTGTCAGGATATTGGACTAGATGGAACATCTGGTATAGTAGTTCTGTGTTTCAGTTGTTCTGTGCTTCGCTTTAGCTGTGTCGAGGCCATAGGCTGTAATCATACTTGCTGCAGAGTGCAGCCTTATATACACCTCTGTCGCTGCACAAGGAGTTGTAGGATTACTGCTGGGGGAATTCTGCACCACTGCGCAATGCAGAATTTTGCACAAATTGATGTGCACACAGAATTTCCTTTCCCCCACAGAAATGGACTGTAGTGCTGCTAGGTGTCACTAGCGGCCACTGGACACAGAATAGCCCAGCTTGCACATAGAAGCCACTGCTCAGGGGAGGGAGAGGGAGCGAGACCGTTCTGGCATCTGCAGTTCCCAACATGCCCAGAGGGAAGGAGAGAGTGGCGTGCAGGAAACTGTGCAAGCCTGGAACTGAGCATCAGGCTGTTTCTCACTCTGGATCCCTGGACTCCGGGGGAGGGGAAGAGGGGGTCTGGGCAAGGGGGGGGGCCCACTGCTAGGCTCTGGAGGGGAGGGGGTATGGGTATCTGGGCTGCGGAGGCATGACTAGGCTCTGGGGAGGAGGGGATTCGGGTGTATTGGTTGGGGGAAGCCCACAGGTTGGCTCTGTGGGGGAGGGGTTGTGGGTGTCTGTCCGCCCAGCTGGGCTCTGGGGGTGGGGGAGAAGAGAGCAGAGAAACAAGAACTGGGTTGTCAAAGGGGTTTCTTTAACTCTCTACTCCTGTGGGAATTTTTGTGTGTGGCTGTACTGCAGTGGTCTCCAATCTTTTTATGCCCAAGATCACTTTTTGAAATTAAGGGCAACCTAGGATCTACTCTGCCCCTTCCCCGACGCCCCGCCCCAATCACTCCATCCCCCCCTCTCCATCACTCACTCTCCTCCACCCTCACTCCCAGTTGGTGGTGTAGTATGGCTGCCGCTAAGGCAGGCTCCCTGCCTACCCCGGCCCCACGCTGCTCCTGAAAGAGGCCAACATGCCCCTGCAGTGCCTGGGGATGGGGGCACGTGGCTCCGCGAGCTGCCTCTCTCTGCAAGCACCGCCCCCGCAGCTCCCATTGGCCACAGCTCCCCATTCCCTGTCAATGGGAGCTGTG